TTATGGTTGGGGGTCACCACAATATGAGGAACTGTATTAAAGGGTTGCGGCATTGGGAAGGTTGAGAACCACTGATATAGAGGAACAAATCTAGCCACGGTTTATCTTGCAATTGTATCCACATTTCTGCATGCAAACTGAATTTCCTGACAGTACTACTCAAAACTATATTCAAATGTATCAGAAACCTCTTCAATCATCTCAATCTCAAGAGCCATGATGCATTACTTATTTTCATTTAACAATTTTTTTTCATTGACAAGTCTGTTTCCAAGCCAAATAATATTAGATGCAGTGGAGGAAGATTAACTCTAAGGTCTTCAAACTATCAGATCATCAAGATTCCAACCATATACCTTGAAACATCCAAATGTTCTCAAACTGTAGCCCCAAACATTTCTTGCCATTGAAACTGCCATTTTTAAAAATAATATGCCCCCTTTCTTTTTGTTGTGACCTTTTAAATCATAGATAATATGAGGCTACACTGCAAATTATGGCCTCATTTGTCCAGTAAAATCTTCCATTAAAAAAAGAACAAATGAACTTGCTGTAGAAGGTTAATTACTTTGGCTGTGCTAGATATAAAGAGCAACTAAGAGATTGATTTATAGTTCAAGCATGGCTTTTGCTGAGCCCATGATGCTGTGATAATTAAAAGTGATTACCTAAGGGAGGTGAAATGTCAAGATGGGAAAAGAATGAACACAGATCATTATTGGTATAATGTATCCACTATTTAATTTAGATTAAAAAGAGTACTGCTAATGCATTTGCTCAAAATTGGCCTTTCCCTTGAAGTAGGACTCATTTATGTCTTGATAAATTTGCCAGTAAGATTTCAAATGTATGATTTTATGATTTTAAACTCATGATTTTATCAACCTTAGATAGTTTGCCTCAACCTAGTGTCTGTAGAAGTATCATGACCACAACTCTCAAGAATTACAGGTTGGCTTTTCTTACGCTAGCTTGGAGCTCTGGAAATCACAGAACCATATAGCTGAAAGGTTCATGTTAGCAGGAATCACAATTAATTAATCAAAACAAAACTGCCAAGTTTTCTGGTTGGAGCATTCAGCCATAGTCCTGTGAAGCTATTTTTTTTAAACCTTTGCATTAGCTCCCTGTGGATTTATGGATATGCTTTGGGATATTGATTATCATCTGTGTTGTGGTCTGCCAGTGGCTTGCGGAGCTGGCAGCAGAGTCAGACAGTGAGGAGGTTGGGGAGGAACATGGGCCAGTCCTGGAGTCTGGGGAAGGCTCAGACAAGGACTCTGCGTCAGAGGCAGAGAGGGGGCCAGGGCCATCTGGGAGTTATATTCTGCCTTCAGAGCCTCCTGAGTCGGACATCAGCGAGGCAGAAGAACAGGCGTAGTCTGTTCCCAGTGTGTGCATGCGCAGAGCTGCCAGAAGGCAAAAACAGTTAAGACAAAAGGAACAACTTAAGAATAAGGCTTGGAGATGATTGGCCCCTCCCATAAGACATAAAGGAGGTGCAAAGGCTTGTGAGCATTTGCANTTAACCAGAGAGGCAGTTTCTGTAAGCAGGGCAATAAAGATGAGGCTAGAAACAATACCAGAATGTTTCCTTCCTGCCTTCCTTACAGGATTAGCTCTTTAAAGTGGGAAAAAACAAAATAATATTTCTTCCAACAACTGGTTCTCCCAACTGCTTAGAAAGTTAGCAACCGGTTCTCTCGAATAAGTGCGAACCGGCTGAATCCCACCACTGGTTTAATTTCAAGCCATCTGGGTGGAGCTACACCTATTCTCAATTTAGAAGGATTTCATTCTTTGATTCCAAATGCCCTAAACTACATCCATAACAGGGGTGAAATTCAGCAGGTTCTGGATAACCGGTAGTGGAAATTTTGAGTAGTTTGGAGAACTGGCAAATACCACCTCTGGCTGGCCCCACAGTGGGGTGGGAATGTGGATTTTGCAGTATCCTTCCCCTGCCACACCCACCTAGCTACGCCCACAGAACCGGTAGTAAAAAAAATTGAATTTCACCACTGATCCATAGGGAAAAAGAGGTTTGAGATTATTCTGCTCTTATACACTCCTTAGTTCTTTATCATGGAATCCATTTGTTTTTAGAACAGAG